AACGTTGGAAGTCCCAACGGCTTCTGACCATCGCAGATCCTGCTGCGCTTTCCACAAGAACAGTTTGTCTCCTGGCCAAACTCCAGTTTGTGCAACTGCATTTATTGAGTAATTATACTTCCTTAAATTGTCCCAGCAGTTTCCATTTGACACGGTACTGTTCCCTTCCTTTCAAGATGCCGTGCAGTGTTACAGCGTGCTGACAAGCAGCTGTTACATTTCACCCAAGAAGTGACTGCATGGCAGTGGCCAGTGAAAGCCATCCCTGGGCGTACATTATGTGCTTGCATGCGGTACCAAGACTGTAAAATGCCTTGGGGTTCCTTGGGGGTGAGCAATGGTACATAAGCATAGGGTAATAGTTATCTATCAAATAGCAACAGAACTTGCTGCGATGTAGCTAGGATGTTGTGGGCTTTTCTTTTTTTTAATTGAATATAAATTAGTAAAAAGCATCTCCCTCTAGTGGGTGAACAGAACATCATCACTCAACAAAAATGAAGTGAGAACTTGTGCTGGTTTTGGCTGAGATACAGTTACTTCTCTTCATAGTAGCTAGTACAAGGCTACAGTTTGGACTTGTGCTGGAAACAGCGCTGATAACACTGGGATGTTTTCGTCGCGGCTGAGCAGTGCTTACACATAGGCAAGGCCTTTTCTTCTTCTCACACCACCCACCAGCCAGTGGGCTGGGGGTGCACAGGGAGCTGGGAGGGGACACACCTGGGGCAGCTGACCCCCACTGGCCAAAGGGATATTCCATACCATATGGCATCATGCTTAGCATATAGAGCTGGGGGAAGAAGGAAGGGAGGATGTTCAGAGTTATGGTGTTGTGTCTTCCCAAGTACCCATTACACATGATGGAGCCTGGCTTTCCTGGAGATGGCTGAACACCTGCCTGCTGATAGGAAGTGGTGAATGAATTCCTTGGTTTGCTTTGCTTCCATGCATGGCTTTTGCTTTACCTATTGAACTGTCTTTATCTCAACCCACAAGTTTTCTTACTTTTACTCTTCCAAGTCTCTTCCCATCCCATGAGTGGGGAGTGAGTGAGCAGTTGCGTGGCGCTTATTGGTGGCTGGGGTTAAACCACGACAGAACTATTACAAATTCTAGACTGTACACTTAACATGCAGAAACAGCCACAATTTGACTATTTCAACAACTGAAAAAATCAGCAATACAAACAAGAGAGGCTGATAGCAAATGTGGTATTTGGAAACTCTGTCCAGGCAGATGCCACCACTGCACTGTGGGTGCGCCACACCTGCCCCCACATCTTCAACCCCTTATGCACTCAATGCACCAGAGATCAGATCAGATCTTTTTTCATTTGATTGACAAGCCAGGCTTTTATTCTGCTTATCCAGCCTCTTACCCGTGCCTTAAAAGTAAGCATGAAGCAGCCATCCCTCATTTCCTCTACTAAACCACTGAGGAATCCTGCAATATCAGGATAAAACCTCTGAGAGCTTTGCAGCGGGTGACTAATGTAGTAGCATTCATGGGTACCCTGTGAGGGTCCTCCAACAGCAGACTGAAGATAGTTCAGCTCCAAGGGTGCTATCACTGCAAGATGACTTAGATCACGATTGACTTCCGTACAGAGAATCCCGGTGCCTGAAGCATCTCTAGGTTCACTAACTCAGCCATTCATTTCAGACCATCTTTTTCCTCCACACCTTTTTCTTGACAGATTGTGAAACAGATCAACAGTGATCATACCTCAGTTCCAGCAAAAAGCCTCTGAAACCTTTAGGCATCTCTGCATAAACTCAAGAGGAAAAAATAAAACAACACAAACAGAAGGAAAACAACCTAAACACCTAAACTAAAAAAAAACAACCAACCAACCAAAAGAAACCATAAAAAAAAGGTAAGGGTATTCTTTGGTGGCCTGTCCAAGAAAGGGAGATTCCAGCTAATAAACTAAAAGATGCTGGCTGACCAAATGACTTATCTGTGTAGTCAGATGTCTTAATAAGTAACGTCACTGGTAATATCCATGCCATGCCATCAAACAGCAGGTTACAGCTTCCCCTGACACATACAAAATCCTGCAATGTGTCTGCTCTGCTACGGAAGCAACTTGGTGCTATATACAATATTCATTAGAAGGGTGAGTGATACGAGAGCTACAAAACTGTACTCCAAAGGAGTTTCTGCTATCAATAGCATACTGATATATACATTTACATAAGATCATGTTTTCCTTCTAATTATTTCCTAAGCTAGACTTCAACTATGAAATTAATCAGGCTCAAAGGGAGGGGGTTTTGTTTGTTTAAAATTTTGTCAGGCCTACGACCTATGGAGCCAAATCTTGTTTGGCCTGGGAAGCACTGTCAATTTTACTTTAAAGAAAACTTCATGCTCACAGACTGCAAACAAACAGCAGAATTAATGACTAATGTCCAAACATGCTCTGAAACTATTATAGTCTTTTTTTCTTCGAGATCTGACTAATTTTATCAGAACACTCCACTACTGAAGCAGTCAGACGGCTGGTTTCAGCCTTATTGAGTAAGCTCAGGTACAGCAAAACCTTGGATATTTTTGGTTTTGCCCTTCTCTGTTTTAGGAAAGTTCGAGTTTCCAATGCCTCTCTCTCTCCTACAGTTTTTATTTCTGAGTCCCCCAATATCTTTGTAGGAGGTGATAACTTTGCTACTTTGTCAGTTAAGCACCACATCCCAGGCTGCTACAGCAAGACAGCGCAGAGCTGACATCCTCATAACCACTGCCTTCCACCAGCTTCTCTACCACTATGGATATTGTAAGCTAGTCCAGAACATAAGAATCAGAAACTCCTTATTCATCTTTCTCCCTCACCTGACAACTTGGTACCTCTAATGAGACAAAAAGATTTTCACATTATCCAAGGACATGGGTACAGATTTTCAAAGAATCATAGAATCACAGAATGGTTTGTGTTGGAAAGGACCTTAAAGATC